GACTCTGATTTGAAGAAACAATGGATTCCTTTACTTAAAACTGTGGGCCTCTTTTACTCAGCTTTAGGAAAAGAAAATCTATTCATGACATGAATCCATCTTCTAAGCCAAGGATATCATACTCATCTAGTCCATGGACTGGATGATAGGTGTGGAGTGATCTGCAGAAGAGATCAGGCCCACACACCATCCCAGCGTGCGAGAGCCCAGACTGGTCCTACACACTGCATGCAGTGGTCGTGCCAGCTCTGGCCCTATATGCCATATGCCAGCTCCAAACCAGCATGCCATGCAGGACTGACCCAGGCCATACACAAGGCCAGCTCAGGGTAACTGCTGCATTTGGCATGCAGAGCCAATCTGGAGTACCTACTGCACATAACAGTCTGGCCTTTTACCCTGGATCCAGAATGCAGGGCCAGCCTGTTGGCCTGGTCTGGCCTGGCCTGGCCCTGGATCCAGCACACAGACCTGGATGGGCCCCACGTTTGACACTGCTCCCCCATGTGCCACATGCAGTGCTCACCCTGGATTGGCTGCACGTGCAGTGGACGGGGTTGGGACAACGGCCAGAGCCAGTGCACATTACAGTCTAAGACCCACGGGCTCCAAAAGCTGGATCTGGCCAATAGATTGCATCTTTAAGAGCTCTGTTCTAGCCACTCTACACTACCCAAAAGCCATGAAATATTAATATTGTTTAACTACAACCAGTTTAGGCTGACACAAGTCACATTTATTGTTTTGGCACCCAAAATATACTAAGGAGTTTCCAAACATATATATGAAACTATACCTGTCCCAAAGGTAATGATAATGGCAACTTTATGGTAAATGTGATGCAAGTGAAACCTCCTGTGCAGGTGCAAGACTAGGCATAAAGGGAAGAGAAATAATAAGAAAAAAAGTTTACAAAAAAGGTCTCACAGCTACTGGGCACAGTGCTAATTAACACGGTCTGGCCAGCCTGCTTCTGAGCCCACCCTAACCATGCTTTCCCTCAGACCCATTTCAAACCCAGAAACAGCAGGTGATATCACTCTAGGGAAACCCCCAGAAGCTATTCTCAAGTAGATCAAAGACCAAGGTTTCAAGGGTGCCCATGTTGGGCAAAAATAAGCTTCGTTGGAAATATATATAGCTTAAGCATCCTTTAGTCTTTATTACATAGCTTAAGTTAAGATTCCATTTTGTTTTATAACTTCTTAGCCTAAGTATAAGCGCCATTTTGATGTTTTTATAGGTTAAAATTTAAGGTTTTATAGGTCAGGAAGGTTTTTGTCTTGTTTTGTATGAATGCAGTATGAATGGGACAGGAAAAAGAGAGATGAGAATGTCACACCTGCAGTAAACGGCTGAAGATGCAGATAGATAAGACCCAAAGTAAAGAAATCCGCCCAAGCATTCAACCACATGGCATCTAACATTTAACCACGCGGAGCATCTAACCAACACGGAACATTCAAGCACCCGGAATGTCTAACCGATGCAAAATATTTCAAAACGGAACATTCAATCGACACAGAACCCAAAATGAAAACAAATAGGTCTAACCGCCTAACTACAAGTGTACAGCTATAGAAAACAACAGGAGATGAGTACCATAAAAGATAGGCGAGATCAGAAAGTCTTTGGGTGATCTCTGCAACCATGTCTGGAACACTGGCATGTGTCTGACATCGCCCAATTCCATTCTCGTGATTAGCCAGGCTGGCCACCAAGCTAATCCGAGCAACTAAGACTGGTAACATTTTAACATCCGCAGAGACTGCTGCTATTATATGTGTGTATATGTAATGTTGACAGAACTTGCTGTTTATGTGTGTTTGTGGATGTGTGCATGCATCTGTCTATGTTTTTAGGATAATTCAAAACTAAGGCTTTCTGTGATTTCAATAAGAGATTTATAGTTCAATGCTTTTGTACTCAATATGAGATTTATAGTTCAATGCTTTTGTATTCTCAATAAACGTGACCTATTGCCCTGTCCCTCCTGAAAAAGGTCCTGCATGTTTTTCCTTTATAAATTATATGCCTTGAGCATGCAATATCCACAGAGGAGGAAACCCCAGAGTATCTTCACTGGCACATTTCTGCATTTGAAACTTGGCAGTGGAAAAAAGTGGGTGGATGTTTCTGGTAATAGTCCAGCTAAAGGATGCTGCTGTCACAATGTAGACAAGCCCACTGTATTCTACTTTATGACCGTCTGAAATACCATATATTCAAAAATCATTAAAATGGCCTTAAGGGAAAGTGCCCTTTTACCCAAATTTCTCATCACCCACTCTCCCTCTGTATATTACTCACCAATTCAACGTTCTAACCTTCCTATCTTAACTTCACCAACCCCATCACTATTTCAGTCCTCCTTCCCATTTTGTGACCTGTCCTTTCTCACTATCTGAACACACTGTCCTGAATCTTCACCACCACAGTACCAGACTAAACCACCTTTCTAGTAAACATCCCACATTTCTGACAACCAGACATGTCAACAGCTTTGAAGTCTGTTTTTTATTTCTTCCACTTCTGCCAGTGGTCTAGGAGTTAATTATTCTGCTGTTTAACATGAGGCACCCAGGTAACGAAAAAAAAATTAGTAAAAATTTCCAATTCCAGTAAATTTAAAACAGGCTCAGAAAGTGTAGATTCTGCTGAAATGCCCCTTTCCATTTGGCAATCGGTAAGGCTGTTCCTGGTGCCATTTCACACGTGTTTCAGGCTTCACTCTTTTTTTCTCCTTCATCTACCATGGTTAAAGGATGGGGTTAGTGAAAACTGTGTTACACTTCCAGGTGTGAGAGCTTTTCTGAGCCCCTCCACATACTCCCATGCCCGTGAAGTAGCTTCGGTTGCTGATAATGTAGCTTCTGTCTCCCTATGGCTCTATATATTCCATTATCAATTCTCATTAACTACCAAGTCTCTTCTCAAGTGTGAAGTTTAAATCAGCATCTGTAACAGATGCCATAAAAAGCATCTGTAGATCCATGGGTCTAGGATGGTACTGCACACATTTATCTTGGCCTGTTCAGTATTGGGGACAACTAAGTACAGCATGAATATTAAACAATAAGTTTGATGCATTTACTATCAAATATCCTTGCTTTTACAAATTTACTTTATCATATTCTAGGCTTTAATTTCCTTTATATGTGGTAATTTAACGTTTCATTTCTTTTTAGAGAATGGTTCTCATCTCTGTTACATCCATTTCCACACTAAATACCACCTTAACATGTATTAAAGGGTGCACACAAGAAGTACACATACAACTTCTAAGTATCTATGCCTGTGTTCATAATGCATTTCACTAATCAGAAATTGGTAAAGATTCAAAATATGGAAAGCAATTACCCCAAATATATCAAACTAAATTTTCATGCTGCTGTCCAATAGGGGTATGAACAAATTCAGGGATAATAAACCAGAACAGTGCAGGTGAATATGCCTTTTAGGAAGTGGTACTTATCACATAACCTTTCAAAGTCAGGTCTTAAGAATTAATGTATTCTGTGTCTAGGTTCATATTTTTAAAATTCTACTTTCATGCTCTGCATAGGAAAAATTTTAACAACGATTTTGCCTATCATTTTTACAGAGAATTAAAGGATGGAAAGTCAAATAACTCAGAAAATGCATAGTGTTAGTGTTACAGTGCATTTTTCATCTGACACACTTTTAAGTTGACTTTGGGATTTTCTGGCTTGCATACATAGCAGGGCTGAGAGAGCCTATTTATCAAAGTCCTACCATTCTGTGCTCTGATCAGTAAGTTCAGACTTAATTTTTCAGGGTGCTGATTTTACCTCCAAGTGAAAATATCCCACAAGTTTCAAGGCCCTGTTGCTTATTGTTCCATGTTACTAATAGCTTTACTTTAGATACATTTCAGAAAAATGTATCTAATTTATACTAATTTTGTGAAATGTAACATTTTGTTAGATAAATAATAATACATATACTAAAAAGGATATTGATGTATTTCATTTTCTTAAGTCTTTATAAATTCCCTACAATGGTTAAAGTTGACCATTTTTTTTCCATTCATGGTATTTAACTTTCATACAAATTGGAGAGTAAAACTAAACTGCTATCTTCATGGCAAAGACTTGTGGGAGGCAGTACAATCCAAAAATATGTTTTCATTGTTTAATGATAATTCCATAGGTGTCATGCTTATTAAAATGGGAATAAAAACAACAACTAAATTTGCGGACTAACCTGCTTACCAGCTTCTTTTTAATATTACTGGCTAAACTCATTCATTCATGCCTGATCATTTCAACAGATTTAAATGAAAAAAAAAATCCATATGTTTCATCCAACTCTTCAGATCAGAAATCGGACAAGATTGTAAAAGTGACTTAGAAAGGGAGGAGAACGCAACACAGTTAGCTGATCATTATTAGCTTGTCTTCCCAGGACACACAACTATTATTTTAACTGCATCCATCTAGAAAAAAAGAAAGTGTTTCACTTCAAATAAAAGTTGAAAATTCATAAAATATCCACACAAGGTTTCATTAAGTCACTAACTTTTAAAAGGAATCAAAACATGGATGCATGGCAAAGTATAAAATTAATAAAATTTAGAATCTTTAAACTATTTAGCTTAAAGTTTTAGAGAGAGGAATAGGATCCATAAAGGTCCAGTTCTCTTCTCTGTAAACGTTCTTGAGAATAAAAGCTACAATACTGAAATTCAAAAGTGGCAATCCCATATTTAAAAATTATAATACATGCCAATTACACTGAATGTTTAGTACTCTTTCAAATTACAAATTATAAAGTTTTTAATTTCCTCACAATCTATACCTTCAAAAATGTCAATTATCATTTTCTGACATTGTCTAAAACTTGCTGTCATTGGAATGGAACAATTTTAATTGGTTACAACCTCCACTACCTTCAGCAATGAAGACAAAACTCATGCTGGCAAGGGTCTGAGACTATGAATAATGTGACAATTTAATGATTCTCAGGCTTTTGCTTACCGTGCTGTGTGAAGAGGTCACTGTGAACTATTTCAATCAAACAGTACAGCTTTTGAATTGTGAGCCGGCCCACTGGAACATTTAGGATGAATTCTGTAAACAGTTTGCTATACATAAAGGGGCAATTAAAAAAAAAAGAAATCTGTTATTTTACCAAAAGTAGATTACATTGAAAGTCCATATCTAGACACAGAATTGGCTGAGTAAGAAAGAAATACCCCCCGCTCCCACCCTCCATTTTGGAGTTGATGCCAAAGAGGAGTAAGAGTTTCCCACTGCTTCCATAAATATTGAAGTGTTATAGAAAGGCCAACAATGCCCAGAATTACTTAAAATTTCATTGGTCAACATATTTATTTCTCCGCCTCTTCATTTCCCTCCTCCTTAACTCTCGCCTTTCACCTCCCTGCTTTTATTACAGATTAATAAGTCCCTAGCCTTGGCAACACATTTCATTTCAGCTTCTATATTTCAAGTTTGAACTGTGGTTGAGAGGCAACAAACATAAGCAACTGAAACCAAGTTTTGTGAATGAAAGATCATGTTAGGGAATACAGTATAGATAAAATAAGCAAGCAGGGTAGACAAATTAAAAGTTAAACAAAGAATTAATATTTTTGCCAAATCATACTATAGTGTTATTCAAACTTCTTAAAATTAGTTTTCCAACTGAACTGACTATCCTTCAAATATTGATCATTTTAATAAACTTAAAGTTTCCTTTTATTTTATCACTTAAGAGTTCTCTTCTTTCCTACAGCAATAAAATCTGTCTGCAGTTGAAAATTCTGACATCATACATGAGCCTGTCCACTTAAAACATCTAAAAATAAATGAGGACAAATGTACCGAAATTGACATTTTATCATTTAAAGACCTTAACTGAAAATATTATGAAAACTAAAGTTTGATTTTTTTTTTTAAATTAGAACTCCTGCTCAAAAATTAGTTATCTGATTTTTTAAAAACAACTTCCCCCTCCTTTCCCTTTCTATTTTATATAAAAGGGCCTATGGTGAGAAGAGGTTTTGGCTGAGAAATTTCTACTCACAGCAGTGAAGTTGCACTGAACAATAACAGGCTCTTATTATTCAAAACAAATTCATAACTCAAAGAATGAGGTGCCAAACACATGAATTATAAGTCTTTGATATCAGTCACCTTGATTTACAAGTTCTGGCACCTCGTTACAGGATCTTTACTAAGAGGAATTGCAAGGTTTGTCAAGAAAAGAATACAAGGACTTCCCACCAACATACTTTAAGTAGAAATATTTATGTATTCTCCAACTTTTTCCAAGAGTGAAGGCTTTTGATCAAAGTGGTACAGCACCACAGAGTATTGTAATTCACTGTTTTAGGGATTCAAGCAATCAGTTGGGGAACAAAACTATATAGATTTTTTCATTAAATGATTATATACAAGTTCAAATATATATAAAAACATATCCCTAGACATTAAAAAAGTGCTTTATTCATGTTACTTACCTCAGTTCTTTTGGATCAAATACTAGTTTCACATCATTAACAATAGTTGGCAAGTATTTAAGTGCAGCCCCCTATAAATAAAAAACAAAGCAAAGAATTTAATGTGAATGCCAGTTTGCGATGTATGCCAATTTAAAACTCCTTTCCAGGTCGACTAAATATAATTCAAATCAAATACAAGGTTCTTACAATATTGCCTATTCACAATGTTACAAAATTAATGGGTGAAACAGAAAACAACAGGATTGACATTTTCAGAGGGATGTTTTCACGCAAGTTCTGGAATGCTTTTTGATAGGATAGGAATAAACATCTAAAAATGTTTATTTTAGATGGAACAAAAGGAAAGATGGGGACAAAAAGGAAAAAAAGAAAAATAAAATAAACCTGTAAATCCAAATAAACTTGCAAAAATCTGAACAGACCTAAAAATCCAAACCTGTGGCCTGCCAAAAAGGTCCACCACTCTATGGGTTGGTAATACAGCCTTTATTAACAATTACAAGCACTCATTCACACAGTTGGTCCCAACATCTCCAGTATTATCTGTCCATCCAAAAATACAAGTTCATAGTTAAATGAAAAGGGTTGTTTTTTCTGGACACCTGAAAATTTCTGCTCTTATTAATAATTGTTAAGGTAAGGTCCACCTTTAGTTCTATGGAAAAATATTTTGAAATATTTCATTAGAGCCTTCTCTGACTTTTTTTTTAAATCTCAAATTGGGATCATACGAACTGAGGCTTATGTCTACTTCCTGAATTCCATAATCTTAGATCAGTGGTTCTCAACCTTTTTTTGGACTCAAGTCACACACCACTGGACTCAAGGCACCTCCCCATGGCCCCTCTAACTTTTGGGAATTGAGTGGCACCCAATTTCAAAAACTAAATTTACATATTATAGCACTTACCTCCTTGCAGAGGGGCTGGGCAGTACAGATACTGGATCGTCCAGGCAGGGACAACGCTAAGCCTGTGCTTTTCTGCTTACTTTTCACACCTCACTTATCTCTTTGCACCTCACAACACCCTTCACAGGATCTGGCAATACTCCAGGGTGCCATGGCACTCAGCCCTGATTGAGAGTAATTTAGATGCTCCTCCTCCTGTTTACATCTACAGAAATGGTGGTGTATACACATAATGGCATCCTGCATCTCTTTTTTGTATCTAGTATAATTTCATAATCTTACCCAAGATACTTTGCCATCTACCTTGATACCCACTCTCATGCAGTGGCATCCTCTCCTACCTTATTTCAAGTTGTACACACCACATACATGCCATCCATAACCTCACCTCCCCAAAAGTTACCTGCCTTTTGACTATTTCAAGTAGATTGAGCCCATTTTGATTTGAGGCTCAGATTTATTCAGTCGATCCCTCTTCACTCAGGCCCTTGTTGCTACCTATAAGCTTACCCTGTACAGTTTGAGTTCCAGACTTTGGTGGTTTAGAAAATATTTACATATCCATATCTAGCTGCAAACTCTATTTAGTTTTCTGATCAACTGTAAGACAATACTGACCCTTCCCTGATATTTTTTCCTCCACCTGAGTAGAGATATTAATAGCAGGTTAACACTGCAAAGCTATTAAAGTTCATCAACCAATACAAAAGCAAGTGTCTTTGAATAATGTGCTGAAAATAACCGAAAGGTATTCTTTAGGGCTGTGCAAAATGGCAAAGTTTCATTTCAATTTCAGATTCACCATTTCAAAGGGACAGTGTTTCATTTTGTTGTTTCAAAGCATTTGCCTGTTTAGTTTTGCCGAAACTGCTTAGCTGTTTTGACCCTGTTTCGACGTGTTTCAGTGTTTTGCCCATAGACTATGATGGGGAATCACAAAAATGTCTATAGCTTTGTCATTTCTTGCCTAATTCAGATGAGAACAGCAAGGATTGTAGCCCCTTTTGAGGTCATGATGCCTGCCAAGTTTCAAGGAGATGGGTGCAGGGGTTTCTAGGAAACTGCACCTCAAACTCTTCAGAGCAAAACTCGTAGCGTGTGTGTTAAGGCAGAGCAGGATGAAAACAGCAGGGATGGTAGTCCCTTCTGAGGCCATGAAACCTGCCAGCTTTCAAGGAGACAGGAACAGACTAGCAAGCAGCAAGAGCCTTCCTGATGCTCCTGATTCTGGTGGAAGAGACAGCTCAGTAAGCTGACAAAGGCACAGCTGACAAAGCTCATTTCAAACATGCCCTCCTCCCATGTCTTGTATATGGTCCGCCCTTTAATGTAATCAAATCTGCACTTATTTTTCTTGAGACACCATACTGCTGACTCGCACTGAGTGTGCAATCCACTAGAAACCCGTCTTCTCAGTAGTTCTGCACCAAAATTCAGTCATTCCCATTTTGCATCAGATTTTTTTCCCTTCCTATATGTAGCAGCTTACATTTGCCTTCGTTGAAGTTAATTTTGTAACCTATTGCTAAATTCTATCATTTGTCCAGATCCATTTGGATTTTAATCCGATCTTCCAACATGCTTGCAACCCCTCCCAGCTTTGTCATCTACAAGCCATCAGTACTTGCAGGGAAGAGACAGAAGAAATAAGAATTAGACAAGAATGTATAACAACAGGAAGAGAGGAGAAAACTGAAGCAAGAATTCACGTGCAGGGTTTGTTGATTTTCAGTCAACCTGTCCCTCTCTTCTGCTCTCAGGATCAAGCAGCAGTTTATATTCGGAAATCATTTGGCACAATTTGCCACTTACCATATACTACTGGAATACACAGGATGAAGTTCTGGAAAAGAGAGTACTTAAGCTACTGAGGAAACTCAAGAGATTTAGAGGAGTCCCATTCTAAAAGCAAATGAATGCTGCCCACACTCAGTGAACTTAGAAGTATCAGAAGGACTTAGAAGTTAACAAAAGCAGCAACCTGCTGAGTGTCCAGTGAGTGGACCTGGTTCAAATCGCTAACAGGAATTTTAATTACAATGCACTCTTGGATATTCAGGATAGAATCCAATCATATCAAGTATGCTATCTCCCCTTCCATGACACCTCTTTCTTTTTTCTCTCTCATCATCAGGGCCTAACCCATGACTTCACTGCCATAACAGTTTCTTATTTCAGAATCTGAAAACCAACCATTATTTGTAGCATTCTTTGAGTCTGACATCAACTGCCAGACTCTCACCCTTTCTTTCACACTCAAATGGCTTGACAGACCATGCTCCTCTCTCTTCCCATCATCTTTTACATCATAAACTAGATCTCACACTTGAGTTTCACTCTGGCTATACCATGAAATTTGTTTTTCTTGTAGTAATTTTCTCCTACTCACTAATTAGGGATCTTATTCCTTCCTCATTTTGCTTTTTTTTTTTCCTGCTGCTTTTCCTTTCCAAAGAAAACTATGGAATTACTAGCGATAAACTACAAGTTTTATTTTAAAAGAAAATGTAATAACTAAGGAAAAAACACTACTTAAAAGTTATGATTATGTCAATTATTTTTATTTCTGTGTTTTCCCCTCAACTTTCCTTTTGTAACCTTCTTCTAAGATCAGTAGTGTGCTTAATTTATTCCCAAGGTTAAGGAATTTTTAAATTTGCATTACCAGTAACCAAATCCAGTAATTTAAATATACAGCAAAAGCTGTTGTAACCAGCACCTTACAAGCCGGCATGCTCTGTTAACTGGCATGCCAGCTTGTAAGGGCTTGCAAGGGAAAAGTGAAACCGGAAGTGCCCACAGTGGCATAGCAGGGGCAGAGCAGGTCCCCCTCCCTGTCCCTCGGGGCCCACAGGAGGGGCAGCAATGCAGTGGGAGGGGCAGCAACACCCCAGATGCAGCGGGACAGGCGGCGGCCCGAACAGGCAAAGACACCTGTTTGGGCCGCTCAGTTATCCAGCATATTGTGTTATCCGGCACCCTCCATTCCCCGTGGTCGCCAGATAACAAAGCTTTTACTGTACCTCAAACTGCATTAGAATTAGAATAAAAATTGTGCCACTGCAAATAGTAAATTGATCTCTGTGCCCCTCTTCCTTAATCCCTGAATTACTTAGGGTACTCAGCCTATCTTTTTCACTCATAATATATTAGCTAATAACATAATTGAAAATGGTGATAATTTACACTGCAAACTTTTAACTGCACCAGAACTGTTTAATAACCACTAAACTGGCACAAAACATAATTCCAGGTCATAGTTGCACCTTATTTCTTTGGTCACACATGAATTAAACTTATTATGGCATTGCCTAACTCCATCATTTTAATGTATACCTTTCCTAATTCTTTGTAAATAGTGGCATTAATTATTTCCAGACACTATATATCTTACCATAAAAAGAAGTTACCTATCAGCCTAACTGAATTTTCCATGTGTTATCCTTATGCATTATCTTGTGGCTGCACATGCATCTCAAGCGCTCCAGCTTAGAGAGTTTTCTGCACTAGCAGAAGGAATAGCAAGCAGTCGCCATGAGTTTGAATAGCGTGCCCCCATCAAAGCAGCATCCCTCAAAGACCCAGTCTAATTCCACTGAAAGAATTTACACTAGAAGGAATGCCTTGATAAAGCTCTTTAGGAATTTCAATACAGCTGGGTAGGAGAAGACAGAATTGACCCTCCACAGTTGAGGGGTGAGCTGAAGGAAAGCTGGATGTATTTCAGAGGTGAAATAAGTCATTACACTTCAGTTCTGGTAAGTATGAAAGCTTTGGCACAACATCAAGCTGGAAATCTAGTTCATTTACCAAGTACCATCTGGCAGAATCCTTCCTGTTATGGCTAAGAATATCTCTGACAGGTGATATTATCAAGAGCCAGACTCTAAGATATAGTGCATGCAGAATCAGATGGAGGATTCTCCTGATTTAGGATTGCAGATCAGGGTACAATGACAGTCCTGAGGCTCCTTATTACACAGAAGATCCAGGAAAAAGAAGTCTGTCAGGACTGGACTAGGGGACTTAATTACATGACCTCTTCCTGCATAGCACTTGCAGAACTAAAGGAATGTGTAGCATGGGCTGTATTGAAGCCCCTGCTGCACTCCTTTGGAACTGAACATGCTGGGAGGGGATGTACCATAACGGGTCTGG